ATTTATTTTAAATTTTTGATAGGAATAAGCTAAAAGATAACTAAAAATATATGTCTCCAAAAATTAAATTATGTACTTATTTTCTATATATATTTTAGATAAATTTTATATTGTATATATATTTCAATTAATTACAAATTTAAATTCTGTATTTTTTAATTTGATGACACATAAATTTTATTTGGATCCATAAAACAACAAACACTACCACAACACAATTTTAGACCAAATGTAAAAAATATATATATAAATATCATATCCGGGCGTAACCCGAGACAACCCCTAGTTTAATAATGTAATATTTGAATCAATGCTTTTAACCCAAAAAATATGGAAAAAACCTTTTAAGTGTTTAAGAAAACGTAAAATATAATTTAAATTATGTATAAATTAACTTTCTATAATTATATTGGTGTATTATGAAAAAATGACAAAAGTAAATATATTGATACGCGCGGTGCATTTGAAGATTGGATGGAGCTATCATGCAATAAAAAGTAAAATAATAAGCCCTCAAAACCTAAAAAATATTTATTTAAAATCAAATGTCAAATCAAAATATATATATTCTTTAAAAAAAAATTTCACACCTAGATTAATACTTGAACAAATGATGTTAGAATGTGTTAATGAATGTAAAAGATACATGATATAGGTACAAAACATAGGAAAATAACACAAGAAAATCACATATTAATAATTCGCATAAGACTAACACATATGTATGTTTTCTCTGGTTGCTCATCGTTCTCCATTATCTAATCTTGGACAAACTCGTTTTCACCTTCATAATACATACGTATAGATTCAATAATATATATGCTAGTTCTATGCGCAAGAGAGTAGTCAAATTTAAGAAACAAGTCTCAGCCCATTGTTGGCATCGGGTTTGGTACGATAGGATTCGACCTAGCGACCCGGGAGCAAGTTCCACAGATAGCCAAATTTCATTGAAAAGGGCCTAACTCACCAATAAGGGAATAATGGGCCAATTGGTTAATTAAGCTCGGAACCGGCTCCGTTGTAGCCGCGAGGTCATAAACATGGACTACGAGTTGGGAAAGTACAACTGGGCCCTGGATTGGAGAGTTTTGTAAGGTCCACGAGATGACGAGATAAGAACGTTCTACATTCAAATCTTGTAACGTCTAAATCAACTAGGAGTTAAGAGAATTGAATGAGATTGTAATGTGGGAACGTGATTCTCGCACCTTGTAACAAGTATATATACGAAATAAGACTAGGGAGAAGGGGGATCCTGAACTCTCTAGCAATATACGCAATAAACTTGTTCTTTCTTACTTAGCCATTTTTACGTTATATTTTCCTTGAATCAACTAGTTCCTCTCGCAACCAGGAACTCGATTACTGGTTCTTCCTAGATTAACAAATCTCATCTAGTGACCTCGCTCTGATTACTTTACGTTTCCGATTTTTTATATTTTGGTGTGATCTGAATCGTACGAGATTCGTGACTCACACCCATTCAGCTACCGATTCAAAATGGAAACTAGTCTAATCAAATGGACCAAGAGCTAGGAGTGCTAAAAAGCAAACCTTCCTGTGTATAGAAACCATTCTGGATGATCCTCGTCATCCTCATAATTTGCATAAGGAGAGCTCCATAATCTGACTGTCAATATTGAATAGTTTATCTTTGAAAAGAGCACCAAATTTGTCAAAAAAACTCATAAAGAAACAAATCATAAACGGCAACTAAAAACCAAAAATAGAATAGATCAATACCATCAACAAAAAGTGCGCCCGATACTAAAAAGGTGAACCTTGACTTAATGACACAGTTTGTCACAAATGGTATGCATAGTTAAGTCTCTGCCTTTGTATAACAACAATAGGAACGATTATAGTGCTGGATGCGTGGTTACAAAGCAAATCCAATAATGAGTTCACCAATTAAAGACGAAACACTAAAATAGATTCACCAAACTAACAAAAATAAACCAAGTCAGAGATTCCAAGAGTAATCTAGTGATACAGAGCGAGAGAGAACCAAAGCATAAGGACCGTTCAAGTTATTACAGAACGCAGCCAAAACATCAACATCGAGACCTGCGTTTCCTCCATTACTCTTTTGATCATTCCTATCGGAAAAAGCCGATAGGAATGATGAAAAGAGTAATGGAGGAAACGCAGGTCTCGATGTTGATGTTTTGGTTGCACTTCGTTGGATCAGACCTTGAGAGATTCCTACGTGCCGCATATGACCTTGAGAGATTCTCTTTCTTAGCTTTCAAGAGGCTAAGAAAGATTCCTCATATGAGAGATTCCTCCGCCAGAGGCTTGCTCTTGCATCTCATACACACTCTGTCGCCGTCTCAGGGAAGCTGAATGTCACGCGCCATTGTAGGAACACAATTTCTACGATATGGCAAAACTGAATATTTATTAGATTAATGATAAAATACATATACAAAATAGTTTTGATCGATACTGAAATTACGATGAACGGTTTGT